TTGTGTATGCGCCCCAAATATATATATTGCGTTTTCACATACGAGAGAAAGTGTGAGAGGCTTTAGAGTACTGAAAAAAAAATAATATCTTAAAACACAGAATTCTCTAAGAGACTATATATTTATATATGTTTGTAAAGAAAAAAAAAAAGTTTATATACATATAGATATATATATATATGTCCACAGAAAAAAAAAATAAAAGTTATATCTTATTATATAGAGAGAGATACACACAGAGAGATAGAGATATATAGATATATATATATATATATATATAGATATATATATATATATATATATATATATATATATATATATATATATATATATATATATATATATATATATATATATATATATATATATATATATATATATATATATATATATATATATATATATATATATATATATATATATATATATATATATATATATATATATATATATATATATATATATATATATATATAATGTGGGTAAACAGCATAAAACTCTCTGTGTTATGAAAAACTTGCACCAATCCCAATGTATAATTTTATCGCGTAGAATCTGTTTGTGTTTTGTTTTATCTTGCATGAAATCTTCATTCCGTTAACAATTAACACCGTTAACTATTTAGGGGATTCCATGCAAGTTTTCATAACACAAGGGTGTTTGGTGCATGTTATCTATGTAGTATATATGGGTTTTTGTGCATAAGTCCCTAACCAACCATCTTTATTATTCTAGAACGACAAATCGAAAGCATTTAATACAGGAAAACATAAACATAATCAAAGAACGACAAATAGATCAGAAATTTGGAAATCAAAATCAATATATACAAGGTTTCATTTCCCTAAAAAGAAAATGCTCAGTTCATTACAAACATAGCATCAAAATGAAGAACACAAGAAATCATAAATTAAACGTAAAGAAAAAGCTTATGAAAAACCCGAGTCGAAACCCTTGTCGAAGCTTCCCGCGAAGAACTGGCGAAAACCGAGGAGAAAACCGAAGAAGAGGTCGAAGAATAAGTTCCAAGAGATTTTAAAAATGAAAAAAAGACCTTTTAATTATAGTAAAAAAACAAAGAAAAATATTTGGTCTCGATTTCTGTTCCCAGATCGCGATCTGGGCTTCTTGGATCGCGATCTAGCAGCCTCGCAACTTACACTACCAAAAAAAAGGGCTTTTGTGACGGACGATTCAGTCACGAAAATGAAGAAAATCTGTCACAAAAGCCCTTTTATCACAAATTTGTGACCGAATTGTTCTGTCAGAAAAACCCTCGTCACAAAATAAATTTGTGACTGCTTTTTCTTGTCCGTCACAATGTTTATGACAGATGCGTCTGTCGCAATTAAAAAAAAATTCGTCACAAATACGTAATCTAGGTTCTCCAAGTATTGTGACGGATTTCGTCACAAACCTTTTTATTGGTCATTAATGTGTCACAAATCACTGAGAATTTACATCACTTGTCCGTGACAGACATCGTCACAAAAAAACGTCCGTCACAAATATTCCATCAGGAACATCGGTCACAAATAATTCATTCAAAACCTCCGTCACAAAATTCTGTCACAAGTATCCCGTCACAAATATGTTACAAATATTTAATTATCTTTCAGTCACAATTCCATCACTAGTTATTGATTCGGGAAGTTTCGCTATTCGCTATTCAAAGCTATTTTAGTTTTTTATATCTATTATAGAAATATTTGAAAACTTCATTCAACTTCAAAATTCTTGATAATCAACACACAGTCTACTACAAAACAAAACTAACAAACAGCAGAAGATATCAAGTAAATTCTCACAGAAAATTCTTAGAAGACCAAATTTACATATGATTCCACAATAGTCAAAAAATATAATACATAGACCGAAAGAAAACTCGAATGAGTTTTGCATTAAAATTGAAGGAAGCCACCTAATTTTTCAATTCGATACAAGTTAAAAAATATATTTCTTCTGTAACAATGTTCGAGATCAATATCCTTCTCAGTTACGTGCTCGAGCTTGTTGATGCAGAAAGCTGGTTTCGATCAGACTGTTGCTGCATTGAGCCCTCAAATTTGAACTCGAACAAAATTTACACAAGACCCTGCGAGCAAAGAAATTTATTTAACAATCAGTAAATTCCAATGCGCAGTTCCTCTATACTTACTGATGCGTAATCTATCACAATAGGAAACAAAAGTACTCTTGTCGTCCACGATTATGCATGAGCCATGCAGAGTTTGTGATGAGTTCTTGTTGCTATTGGCATTTGAAAAACAAGAAATGCATGTTGCATCAATATTATTCAGAGGAAACATTATGATTAACCCCCAAAATCGTAAGCACTAGGTAAGGAACGGGGAAAATACAAAAATCCGACCACTAAGATCTTCAATCTAGCTCTTTACTAACAAAAAAATCCGAAAAAAAAGACAAACTTTTATGCAAAATCATATTTGTCTGAACACTAGAAGCAAACCTGCAATCTTAACTTTTCAAGGACTTGTATGGACAAAGTTTTATTGAAACATTCATTTCAACTTAGTAAAAGATTAAATCTAATTTGAAAACTTGCAGTAGTATAACACCTTCGGCACATTAGTCTAGAAGCAATTGAATAATATTTGGATAGGGCATTGATATCTCAAGATCATTAGAAGAGAAAAATGAAAATTCTGCTAAATGTAAAATCTCAACTCAAATGCATTGGCCATCACTAAAACCAACCTTAAAATCAAATCTCACTACTTAGATGGAAAAAATTCCTAGACTGCTAAAGGCACAATACCTTAGAGCTAATTAGACTTGAAAACACTATTAAAAAAAATAACAACTACAGAAGATAAAAATACGTTAATCTCGAACAATAATTGTTTATATACGGCCTAACAGCAGATCTGGGGAATTAGTTATAACATTTCAATATACATTTGCATCCAAAACTCAGAATTCCTGTAGACACAGATATGTAGTAAAGTACAAAATCAGAAACTAGCCACTTAAATTGCCGGTAGAAGAAATTAGATAAGTACCTAAAATCACTGATGCCAAATCACAATAATTGATTCCCAGTCTACCGCCGTCGATGGTTTCATGTTTGAAACGGAGTTGGAGTTTGAAAAAAAAAACCGTAAATCCAGAAACCCTAACCTTTTCACCGGGTGTTTTGTTGATGTTTTCTGGTGCTTGTTGACAGTGTCCACGGTATTAATTTATACAAAACGTTGAGTCGGAGGCTGTTGGTGGCGGGATTTGGCCAGAGTTCGTCTGGGGTGGCCGGATCTTGGTGGAGTAGGCTGTGGGTTGCCGGAATTTGACGGATCTGGCCGTGGATTGCCGGAATCCGACTGGTTTGGTCGTGGGCTGCCGAACAGATGTGTGGCTGAATATGGATGGAGAAAAAAGGTGAATAAGAAGAAAACAAATTAGATAAGGAAGAGATAGAGAGGGAAGAAGAAAAAAAAATAGAAGTAACAATTAATTGTGAGTAAAAGAGAGGGGATAGGTGCTGAATTTCTTGGGAAAGAAACAGAAGATGAAGGGAAGGAGAAGCCGGCCGCAATGACGAGAGGAAAATTTAGAGAGAAGAAAAGGGCATAAAAAATATAAAAAAAAAAATGGGTGTGGTGAATAAAATAAAGGTAAGAGTCTATAAAAAAAATAAAGGGGAAGAAAGTGTGAAGATTAAAAATAGTAAAATATTAACATATAATTGAAACAATGCATTTTTTATTATTTATTTTTAGGGTAAATTATGAAAATCCCCCATAAAAAATACAATATGTTACATATGTAAGTTAATTAATCAATGAAGTTACTTATTAACAAAAATGGATCAAATTTCAAAATTGTGTATCTTACAAACTCGGTCGAAAGTAATTTAAAATCAAATAACAAATATTTTTTGAAGCAAAATAATAAACAAAATTAAACAATTTTCCGAACCAATCCGGTTCGACCGTGACCCGGCAATAAAGCGGTTTGGTCTGACTTTTGAAACCGAAAAAGTCGAAAATTGGGGTCAAATGACCAAAAACCGGTTCGATCGAGTAAAACTCGAGAACCGACGAGTCAGTCAAGGAACCCGGTTTTTTGCCAAAACGTCTCGAATCACCTCTGAGTTGGTTATTTATGGCTAGATTTGAGCGAACCTTCATAGAATTAGTAGTGGGTGGCCGAATTTAGTCATGAGTGGTCGAAGGATTGTCGGATATGATCATGGGTAATCGAATAGGAGTGGCCGATTGCCGCATTTGAAGAATAAGAAATGAAAAATATAGAGTATAACTTATAACTTATAAGCAATAAAATATAGTAAAAGTAAGGTGAAGTAGATAAAAGTGAAAATAATAAGTAGGATATTAAAAATATAAAGATTTTTAAAACATTAAAATTAATAAAATAATAGCATATTAAAAGAAAATCAAAAACCCGGTTAAACCGGTTCGACCCTATAAACTCGTGACCCAAGTGGTCGTCCGGTTCTATAGTCGGTCCGGTTCTAAAAACATTGCTCCGAATTGTTGTGTTCCTAGATTATTTTAAGTGTTTTTTCTATCACCTGGGCCTAGCCAATAAATAATTAAAAAAAATATCTTAATAGTTAAAGGTTGAACTATTGTCCGTGCATTACAGAATTAAAGAGGAATAGTATGAATTTTGAACAATATTTAAAATATATTAACAGTATTAGCATTAGAATAGTTAATATTTGTTATATTATTATGTTTTTTTAATATATTATAATCAGTTTTAGTCACCATTAAATTATTTTACAAAGATCAAAATAAGTATAAATTAAATGATTAATAAATCAAAATCAAAATGTAATTATTTTTTATCAATAAATATATGTGTCGAATTTATGACCAGGATATCAAAAGTGATGAATTAATGACGAAACTTAAAATGTGACAGATTCGTTACTGAATTACATGTGACGGATTTGTGATTGAATAAAGATAGTGACAGATAAATGACAAAATTTAAAATATGACAGATTTATGACGGAGTTGTGTATGACAGATTTGTGACGGCAATGAAGTAACGACGGATCAATGACGAATTGTGACATGAGACGGATTTACGACTGAAATTTATGTGACAAATTTGAGATGGAAACGGGATTGTGACGAAGTGGTGACCAATACTAGTCAAATTGTTACTTCTTTAAAAATATTATGACCGATTTGTGACCACACTATTTTTTGTCATAAACTATGTCACTGATTTGTGACAAAACTAATTTCTGTCAAACAAGATGTGACTCAAATGTGACAAAAGTTTGGTTGTCACAAAATTCGTCGCAAAATTGGTCACGTACTCGTCACAATCAATTGCAGAGTTTTTGTAATGAAAGCAGTCACAAATTTGACACTAATTCGATCACTAATTGTGACAGATTTAGTGTGTCACAAGTTTTCCGTTACAAAAGCCATGTTTTTTGGTAGTGTTAAGCACCGCCTTACCACATCGCTATACGGGAATGGCGGATCGCGATCTGGTTTTTGATAAAAAAAAATGTTCTGTGAGATCCCCTAGATCGCGATACAGGAAAGCTGAATCGTGATCTGGGTCCTAATAAAAAAACCTTCTGTAAGACCCCCAGATCGCGATACAGGAAAGCTAGATCGCAATCTGGCCCTCTGCATCAACTTCAAACACTGTTTTGACCTCATTTTAGCCCGAATTTGACAATTTTTCATTTCACAGAAGTTGTAGACCTTGAAGTTAGATTTCTAATTCTACTTGAATCAGCTCAATCGGAGTTCTTTGCAAAAGTTATGCTTGAAATACCAAACAACGCCTCAACCAGCGAGAATGCACTTTTGCACATGTTTGGTTTGATCCTCGGCTTCCAATATCGTTTCGAATCGGCAAAAATAGATTCTATTTAGCTAAAAAACAAATAAAACAAAAACAACATGATATGTACAAATAAAGCCGAAACTCAGACGAACGAAGACCAAAATTCGAAGATTCGATAAGTAAAAATCGTGCAAACCGAACACTTATCAACCCTCAAACTTAGATCTTTACTCGTCCCGAGTAAATCAAAACAAAACTACGACACAAAAGAACAAAAACAACAAACTAAATCTTGGCCACTAACGTAGTGAATCACGATGGCATTTAGCATATGCAACAAGCCTTTGAACCCCTGGGTAACCCCAAAGGACGAGTTGTGTCTCATGAGGGTTTTCAGACAACACACCACAAAGTTCCGGATTGGTCAAAGCATTGCAATAAATTCCAAAGATAAAACGAGCTAGATAACCTAAAATCTTATAATAACATACGACTTAAGATATTCGACTTCCCTACCGACGCAATTAGTTGTTTCTACACCAAAATATTAGATAGACTCAAGAATCCGTAATCAAACACAAAGCACAATTATCGAGTGTTTTGAGTAGAAATATGGACGAAAAGTAAGTTTTGATTCTGAAATTCAAAAACTCGAATTAGGCATAAGTAGGTCTATTTATTCAATATAAAAACGACAACAACAATTATTTTTGGTGATTTTCATCACAACTTTCTATTTTTTTTAAATGTAATACAATCGTGAATCATGTAAGGCTCCACACCACTGTGTTATCTTTTTGACCCATGTATTGAAATTTAGTCCAGGAGACCTCCAAGCTAGTTAGCTCAAGAGACTAGGCGACGAAGTGCACCTTACGGGTTAAGCTCGAGCCAGAGAGGCCAGAAAATCAGAGCGTGAATCACGTCAGCACCATTTTTTTCTCTTTTTATTTTTTCTTGAAACAACACAACAACAGAAAGTAAAAACGTAAAGAACATTATTGATTTTTTTAGCCAACAACTCGAATCGTGAAAACAAAGTTCAATTTTAACTCACCCTAGGGATAGCAATATTACCCGACCCGATGGGTACCCGCCCCGCCCCGCCCCGTTCCCGTTAAGGATTGGGGCGGGTAAGGGTTTTGGAATTTATACCCGCAATGGGTAAGGGGCGGGTACGGGTGTAGTAAAATTTCCCCCGTACCCGCCCCGTTTACTACCCGTATTTTTTATTTACGTATAATAACCTTATATGTATATCTAATATAACTTATATTGTATTTTTTCAACTCAACCATCAACCCTATTTATTAAAAAAAAAAGAAAAAAGAAAACTCAAGAGTCATGAGTCAACCCTAACTAGTGCTAGTCAGATTCTTAAACTTTTGTCTGTCGTTTCAACTTTCCACTCTCATCTTTATATATTATTTACTTCATATTGAATATTGAGAAAAAATTCACACATATGTGTTTTCAATACTTTGATTGACTATTGAATATTGAGGAAAAAAATAACCCATCAGTGTTTCCAATTCTGTGAGTTTCCGACGGTGGCGTATAAAATTTCCGACAACGAAGTGGCATACCGAAGACAACGAGGTAATTCGGTTCAAAAACTTGCGGTCTTAGATATAATCGTTTATGACAGTACGGTGGATTTTCTTCATACAATTAAATATGAACGTAAAAAATAATAACTTATTGTGAAACTTCTGATATTTTATAAGATAATAATAAACAAATTCCATGTATGGCGTCAACAAATTTATGAATTTTAATGGTTTCCTTCACAAATTTGTCAAATAACAAATTAAATATTCAATGTTTGAGTTAATTTAGCATATTAGGATTTATAAAATAATAAAAATATTCCATGAAAACTGAGTATATAGTATATATTTATCGAAGTACGTAAATGTTCTAAAGTTTGTCTTTCTGCAGGTACATATTGTAATTATGAGTTCTCAAGGTGCTGATTCATCCAAGCCGTTAGCAGATACAATTACTGAGGAATCTTTAGACCCGACAAGTACTCCTTCAGCTACTCCTACCACCGAGGAAAATGAGTTGACTGTAACAAAAAAATTAACATCGGATGTGTGGGATCACTTTGAAAGAGTTATGCACGCGGGAACACGTAAAGCACAGTGTAAGTACTGTAAGAAGTATCTTGTCGCAAGGAGGAAAGACGGAACAACTCACTTACGTGATCATATTAAATAAAACATGTCTTAAGAGAAAGTATAAAGACATTAGGGACATGAGGCAAAAGGTATTGATAAATGAACAAAATAAAGTAGATGGTCAAATGGGCTTGGCAGTTGGTCATTTTAATCAAGAGGCGGCTAGATATGACCTCGCTTGTACGATAATTTTGCATGAATTTCCCCTGAGTATTGTTGATTATATTGGTTACAGAAAATACTTTTCTACTCTACAACCATTATTTAAGATGATATCTAGAAACACAATCAAGAGTGATATATTTAAAATTCGTGGATCAGAAAAAGAGAAGGTTACGTTATGAAATTTATCGAGAAAAATGAAAGTAGGATTGCAATCACTACCGATATGTGGACTTCGAGCAATAGGAAAAGAGGGTTCATGGTGGTCACTGGCCATTATATTGATAATTGTTGGGTTTTACAGAATCATGTTTTAAGGTATCCATTTTCACTTTAATTCATTTCTTATATTTACTTTTAGTTCACTTTATAAATAATTTTAATTAACTTACGTTTAATTTTTTTATAGGTTTATTTATGTGCCATCTCCACACACTAATGAAGTTCTTTCGGAGGTTCTTATGGATTGTTTGCTAGAGTGGGATGTTGATCGAAAGTTATCCACTTTCACCGTGGATAACTGCAGCACCAATGATGCCATGTTAAGGATACTCTCTGATAAGCTCCAAACTAGCTCCTTGATCTTGCATGGTTCATTGTTACACATGCGTTGTGCTGCTCATATTCTAAATTTGATTGTTCAAGACGGTTTGATGATATTCAAAGATTGTATTGAAAAAGTGTGTGACACTGTTGTTTTCTGGACATGATCAACAAAGAGAAGGCAAAAGTTTGAAGAAGTTGCTAGACAAGTGCGTGTTTCTTGTACTAAGGAGTTAGTTCTTGATGTAAAAACACGTTGGAATTCAACTTATCTCATGCTTTCTACTGCTTTGGTGTATAAGGATGTTTTCTTCCGGTTAAAACAACGTGAGCCACTCTACAATTTCCTGCCAAGTGATGATGAGTGGGCTTTAGCAGCTGAGATTTGCGAGAAATTAGGGTTATTTCATAAGGTAACCGAGTTATTTTCTGGTACTACTTATTCTACAGCTAATATGTTATTTCCTAAGGTTTGTGAGATTAAAATGCATTTGACTGAATGGTCAAAATCTCCAAATAATGTGATTAGGAAAATGGCATTAAGTATGTTAGACAAGTTTAATGAATATTGGAAAGTGATTCATGGTATCATGGGAGTTGCAGCAATACTGGATCCACAATTTAAGATGAAATTGGTGGAATATTTGTTTGGAAAAATTTATGGAGATGATGCTCTTTATGAGATTAGTAAAGTCAAGGAAATTTGTTATGATTTGCTTGATGACTACAACTCTAAGAAGAAGGGTACTAATGTTCCAATGTCCTCCTCTTCGTCTATGTCAAATGACAATCAATCTTTAGGAGGTGATTTTCTTTCCGATTATGATATGCTTGTTAGTAGCCAACACTACACCAAAATGGACATTTTCTAACGCCACAAATTTGTAATTTCTAACAGATATATTCGTTAGTAATTACTAACGGATATTATCCGTTAGAATTAAATATATTCGTTACAATTAATAATAAATTGTTTTTTCTTAAAATTGTGAAAGTTTAATAATAATTCTAACGGCAAATGTCCGTGAGTCCTATGATTATCCAAATAGTATAATATTTAATTAAATTAAATCAGTTTCTTTCATCTTTTATATTTCTCTTCTCCGTTTCTCTTTTACCTTTTATTTTCTTCTCCATTTTTTTTTTATAATTTCCCCTTTCCCTAATTTCCATCAGTACAACCTTCGATGGCCTTTGTTGGCTGCCATTGTTTGCCATCTTCTCTTTCAACCATCGCCGTCGCCGTCGCCGCTACCGTCACCGTCACCGCTACCACCGCCGTCGCCGCTACCGCCGCCGTCGCCGCTACCACTGCCTTCGTCGCCGCCGCAAAGACCTCCAATATTTCAGGTATTCGCTTTCTTCCAATTATATTCGCATTTTAGGTTTTTTGCAGAATAAACCCTAGATTTGATTTTGTTTTTAAAATTAAGCGAAGTTTGAATTTATTTAGGGTTCTTATTCATCTGTAATGTTTATTGTCATATGTATTTTCGATTTCTTTCACCATTTCTCTATATATTTCGGTTATTTCAGCAACCTAAAAGACACATTGGGTACTGATACCCCTTTTTAGTTGTGATATTTTTCATGGGTGCCTCTTTGTTTTATCGTTTACAAAATTAAAATTGATTTTTTTTTGGTGTGTTTTGTGTTTTATGGGACTAACTGTATTACTTCAGAAAATATATAATATTTTGTCCTCTAGGTTTTTCTTAAATCTGCTATACGAGTGGAGATACAAGGCTGGTCGGCACAGGTTGTATGAACTTGCTTTCAAGTGTAAGATCTCTAATATATTTGGCTATGTGGGTAAATAAATATATTCATTTATTTGTATTAGATTTAGGGGAGTTTGATTTTTCTCCATCGATTATGCAGGCAATTTGTGGGCCTTATCTCAAGGAGAAGGCTCTAGATATCCTCAGAACACATTCTCATGTGTGGAAAGATTTGCATTGTGTTGAAGTTGTTACCTTAACTAGGTATACAAGGTGATTGGACATGAATTGAGATTTACTACTCCCCATTTTGAATTAACTAGCCATGACAATATTTATTTATTTCCATATTCTGTCAATTAGTTTCTTTGAACAACCCTTGTGATTTTGATTTGAACATTTACATTGTATTCAATAATAATTTAGTTAGAAGTTTTATATTTGAAAGACTGGTCACTATCGATAGGCCTGATGTTGTTGGTGGAGTAAAGATTCTTCAGTCTTCAGGGTAGTTATCTCTTATGGAAAATGTTATATTCTTCGGGTTAATCATCTATAAATGTATATACTTCAGTTTGAAAATCTATGGAAGTAGACTGTTGTTCAGATTTTGTCTAACTTCGAGTTAATTATATTGCATTCAGGTGTCTTCATCTACATTTCATCTACATCAGATCCCAGTAGTAAGTATTCTAGAAGATCTTGTACTAAAGCTTTCTTCTTTAAGGATTTGCTCTAAGGATTTGTATAAATCAATATTTTGCAGCTTTGAGGAACATTGCATGCTGAAAGGAGTTCACGAAAATTTTGTTGGTATGTACTTTTTATGGTACTTTATCAGATGTACCCCATTGATGAAACCATGTTGCATATCATACTGCACGATATATTATGAAGCTTCATATTACCTTATTTCCTTTTGTATGTAGGTATTGATTATGTGATTTTCGGCTTGTGTGTCTTTTCATTCTTGGGTACTTGGTGCGACTTCATAACATTCAAGTAATATCTAATTCATCACTGAATGATATTATCTACTATGAATTTCCTATTATATATTGATTATAATGCTATTTTAATCAGGGTATAACGTGGAAGAGGCAGTCTTTTAAGGATGAAATTTACCATGGTGAGGAAATTGAGGAAATAAGAGCTCTAGGATTTGGGATCAGCTCAACGAGAGATGAGTGTTGCAAGTACTCTCGGAAAGATGGCTTTCCAACCGACTTAAGAGTTTCTGGAAGAATAATGCAGAAGGGATACTTGAAATTAATTTTCATGAAGTCGGTTATTGTATTCGTGTTTTTGTTTTTGGTGTTTGGGGAATACATTTAATGTATTTTACCACTAGATGTTATGTATGAAATACGTAAGATTTCAATAACATTTGTTAAATTTAGTTATTTATAATATTAATAATATTACCATTTTCTTGAAAATGGTAATATTTTTTTTTTAATAATTTGCCAAAAGAATACTAACAGTTATATCCGTTAGGAATTTTGCTAGGACGTTACAATTAACAACCGTTACAGTCACGTTTCTAACGGATACAACTGTTAGAACTATTTATTTTTCTAACGGATTTGGATAATTTTGCCAACGGTTTATGTCCGTTAGAAATTTTAGACCTTAAATTTCTAACGCCATTTTTCTAACAAAATTTCGCCATTACATTAAATGTTTCTAACGGATATATCTGTTAGCAAATAGCTTTTTTGGTGTAGTGCAAAAAAGTATTGGGGATGGGAAAATAGAGTTGGATCATTACTTAAAGGATGATGCCAAGAAACCATAATTTTGATATTTTATCTTGGTGGAAGAATAATGGAGTGAAGTACCCAACCTTAAGATTGATTTCAAGGGATATTCTAGCTATTCCCGTATCTATAGTTGCTTCGGAGTCCGCTTTTAGTACAAGTGGTAGATTGTTGAGTCCACATCAAAGTAGACTACATGCAAAGACGATAGAGGCATTGATGTGTACCTAAAATTGGTTATGGTCGCAAATCAAAGGCAAGTTATCATTACTTTTATCATAAATATACGTCTATTTCTTTTTTATCTAAGAACATATGCTTGTTTCTACTGTTGTAGGCTCATCTTCACAAGAGTTACAAAATGTTTTGCAAAATGTACTTGATGGTGACGTTGGTGATGATGATGATGGAGATGAATGTGTATCAGTTGGTGATTAAATAACAAAGTGGTTTACTTTTCTATTATTTTCGTTTCTATTTATTTTGTATTAAGTATTGTCGAACATAGGTGACTAGATGGCTTGTTCAAAGACAATGATGCTTGCTTTTAATTTTTGAAGTAATATATTATTTTATAAAATGATTGTTGATTTGAATTTATAATTTAATTGTATTTAGCAATTAGCATGTATATATATAACTAGAATTGATTTTTATATTCCAAATATGAAGGAAAAGCCGAAATGGAAGAGACAAAAAAATGGGTCGTCAAACGAGGTGGGTACCCACGGGTGCAAAATGGGGCGGGGGCGGGTTCTACAATTCCAACCCGCAACGGGTATGGGGCGGGTGCGGGTTGCTTGATTTTCCAAATGGGGCGGGTGCGGGGATTGGGATACCCGCCCCGTACCCGCCCCATATCCATCCCTACTCACCACCTGAACCTCAGACTATTATACCCCTCAGAAAAGTGTGCTCATGCTTAATCGAAAAAGATTCGAAAGGCTCTCAAAATTAGTTGCAGAAACGCACTCGGAAGGTTCATCTATTAATTGCCGCCTATGCACAACTTTAATTTTAAAATCAACTAGCAAATCTACTAATTTATTAACTTCTCTGCTTCAATAGAATCCGGAAATGCAACTTACACTCGATCCTATATTAAATGCATGTGACAAACATAACACCAATACGAAAATCGGAATACATAAATGAAACTAAATTATATGATATGCACGCAAAAGGCCAAAAATAAAAATAAGCTAAACTCACCCCCAAACTTAAATCATGCATTGCCCTCAATGTAAAAAATAAAAGATATGAGAAAGAAATACGCCCTGAACAATCGTGCCGCATATTGATCAGTGTTCTACAGTTGCGAAAGTGTTCTTTGGTTGCACGGGGTGCCGTGGATTTTGGCACCGAGGGCGACTTGCCGGAGTTGTCTACATTTCCCGACTTCTAACTTTTCTTTCCTTGGGGACGAGATACCGGCAAAAATTAAGAAAAATGGATGAAATTTAGCTTTAAACCAAAAAAAGAAAAAATAACAAAAACGAAGAACATAAATGACGAGAAATAAATAATGGGTTGCCTCCAATTCAACGCATGTTTTACTGTCGACGACTCGACACAATTTGGACGGATTATGTCCAATCCAAAGCCTTGTTGATTGCGCATCCATCGATCAATCTTGATACATATTTTGCAATCATATCATGGACTAGATTGCAATCTTGTAACGACCATCCCTACCCATGGTACTTTTCGTTTGCTTTGGAAATCAGTCGGTAAGAGACTAGGATGGGTTGCTTGCCTACCGATCTCTTAAACTCGTACACAAGATATTCGAGCTTTGGAGTAAGCTCTACCTTGAATTTGATACTCATCTCCTCGATCACAATCAAATCCGGAGTTACAATGTGGATAGGATTTTCTTCGTCAAATTCCGCACCTACCATCATCTTCATCCCAATCTCATCAAACTCAAAAGTATCTACATAACTGGGATGAATAATTCTCTCACGGTGCTCAGCCTCATCGTTCATACGAAAATATGTAAATACCTCGTTGTCTTCATATAGGATGGTTGGATGTGGTTTATGACTGTGACATCTCTGAAACTTTTCAAAAATATTCGCCAGAAAGTGGAGTTCGTCTTGTAAATAGCACAGATGCTCATTTGTCAGTCCAATTCCATTTTCTGGGTTCCACCTTCGATGTCTTTCAATATCCTCCAACTATTGTTGAATGTAATCAGCTCTAAACTGAAGCTCGCAAAGAGAGAGATCATAAATCGAGGCCATCAATGTATACAAATCTGCTAAAACAAATGAAAAAAAAAAGTCTAAAGTAAAGCAAGAATAGTTGGTAACGATATTAGTAAATTCAAGATTAACTAATTCCCCAGCACGGCGCCAAAAACTTGATACGCGTAAAACCTTCGTATGAAAAATCGCAAGTGCACAGTATTGCGTTTTGTAGAATAGTGAATTCCAGCTATCGATCCACAGGGAATTAAGTTCCTAAATTTACCAAGTACCGTAATTATACTAAGGGGAAGTAGGGGAGGGGGGACTCGAACCCTAGACCTTTACCCTATTGGTAAAGCCTAGGTACCGACTCTCCTAACGAGGATTGATTGTCATATACATTAAGTTTGCCTTTATTTATAAGACATAAATGGTTAAGCTTATTGACAAAAAGAGATATAACACATAAACCTAGAATAATAAAGATTGTTTGTCATGAACCTCCTTACAAAATAATAAAGAAGGACAAACCGACCACCCGAGCTCCCATGTTTGATATTTTGCATGTATTTTTTTGTGGAGATGACATATTGATGTGAAATATATAGTAGATCAATAGGCTTTTTATATGATTGAAGCATTTATGCATCAATTACTTTTTGGGTGCATAATGTGCCATTGTTGAAGTTAGTTTGGAGCTCTCCCTATTAAAAGAAGTATTGTGGAGTTATATTGAAAAACCCCTAAATTTTTAGTTTAAACAAATAATTCCTTTCTTATATTGTAGTTTGGTTTCAACTACCGTGTCAATTAAAAATTTCGTGACATAAATTTATGTTTCCAAACCATTGGGGATAAATAATTGCCCGGCTTTCAAACATTTGGGAATAAATATTTTATGGAAAATAAAGTATTAAAGTATAATACTTTAATATATGTGAAAATAATTTGTTTCAATTATTTGTGTTTAATTTAAATATACTTTAATTAATTTGCATTGACTTCAAAAAAATATTGTTTAAATATTTGAGAATTTTAAATATGTTGAAATATCTTGTATAGATGGTTTCAAATGATGAGACCTTTAAAAGTAAGGATCTACATCATTTATTTTGCCATATAGCAAAATATGATATATTATTTGGTGATCTAGAACTCAAACCAGTAACCTTAATGAGAAGGCACCTAGTACCTTTAGTGATAAAGCACACATAAACCTATTTACGTAAATGACCTACTTCGGGTTCATGTTGTTGCCCTTATCGGTATAAACTATAAATGAAAATGCTTCATATGTTTATCAATTCAAGTCTGCACGTTATGTATCTAGTTAATCACGTATACTTCCACAGTTCCACACAACTACAATGATACGATTCCTTATGAGTTATGAATAGGTAGAAGACCGAACAATAAATATCTCTGTGTGGGGATGTCAGGCTACAAGTTAAATATGCTCATGTATGTATCCTTGAGGGATATAATGATTCAATTGGATATTTGATGTAAAATAATCAATCAACAATACAAGAGATTTTAATTTTATGTATAATGTAAGTCTCGATATATTCGTTATAGACATAATACTATGAGACATTTACTCTCCAATAGAATATTTTTTATTGGTTTGTAAAATCCAAAGATAATCTAGTCGATTCATTTATCAAAGGTTTGTGATCCGGGCTATTTTGCCTAGCCTAAAAGGCCCACCATCTATCCTCTTAGACCCAACCCACTCTCCACTCTTCTCTCTCTAGAATTAGTACAAATAAGAGAATAAGAAATATGTGAACACAATTCACTCGAGGACTCAACTATATAATACATATATATCTTCATTCATAAAGGAGGATCATAAGAAAATATAGAGAATACACTCTAACACATTTTTATGGTGGCCAAACGAACCCTATCAGTTTGTCTGGTTAGAGAGTTAAATGTGAATCGAGGAGAATAAGTTTAAAGCATAAATAACTAAGTTATCTCATACAGAAACCTAACTCGCGACTCGAGATCCTATATATCAAGTTCAATAGGACAATCATTTCTGTGTAACTTAAACCATTTTAGCATTTAGATGTTTAACTCTTTATAGATGCAGTCACCTATGTTAGTGTGAACTAGGTCGGCTCGTTGAGAATTTTCTCAAAGGCTGAAATTCTCTAAAGCACTCGCATAACCCGAGAATGTTTCAGGCCAAAACGAACACAACCTAGAGCTTGAACTACGTGTGTTTAATACGGTGGTAAGTTTGTTGTCTTAATTTACACAAACAATGACAATTCAAGATAAAATAATTCCCTGATTAGCTAAGTAAACCCAATAAGCATTAACCAGGGCAGGTTCAAGATATAATGTTTCATCTATCCCAATGTCGTACTATTGCTAAAATAAATTTTGACAATTTGGAAGAACAATTTTATTCATGTGGGGGATTGTTGGAATTTTGATATGAATAAAATTATTAGGCTACTTCAAAATGGTGCATATTTGGATTGAATGAGTTTCTTCCCAAACAACACATCTATTTATGAAATAACATATTCATTCATGAAAAAATTCTTAAAACAAAACTGATCAGTTTTGCATAAGATATAACAAGACTGTTTAAGAAATTCTTCCTAATATTTTTGTTTTGAATTTCGCTCATTTGTTTCGAGTTTGCCGTGGGTTTCGAATTTGTGCAACAACCGAAGTATCTGACTATTGTATCCTGGGATACTATCGGGATAGATGCACCTTAGACAACCCGAAAATATTGTCTTAAGGACATTATTTTTGCAAACCTCCCTCGATTTATGATTTTTCGTATTTCCGGTGAATTTCTATGTCCAAGTTATAAGCACAATTCTTAATCAATTATTGACACATTGTTTTTTGACCCCAACATTTCTATCCTATATTCATGACAAGAACACTAATTAGATGAAATTGACCCAAGAGCTCTTCTATCGACATTTCTAGATAATTCAAGCAACTAATCAATCACTTCAATAAAAGCAAATCACAAACTTATCATATTCATGAATAAATAAAGCCCAATGTGAAGAAATAAATAATTCATCAAACTTGCATTATAGGGAAATTAATTGAACAAATTCCACATAGGATTCTAACGAAATCCTAGATTATGAGTTTAGCTACTTATGTTGTTGAAAAAAAAAATAATAAATACAATAACGATACATGAGTTCAAAAAGGAAGAAAAATAGAGAAACTATGATGAATAATTCTCTATTCTTTGTTGTCGTGTTCTCCATCTTCTCGCTCTTATTGCTCCAAGTTTTCTCCTAACATTCTTGCAAAGACTCATTTCGAACTTGCATTGGAAACCTTTTTTTAATACCTAAACTTCTAGCCCAAGTTTTCAAGTTTTCAACAAATTTCCGCACAAATACTTATCAAATCACTTTCCTATTCTCTAAGTATTTTCTCGAATCGAGGTCCTAGCCTTTAGAACCCTACCCTCGTTTATTCCCTCGGACCGCGATCTCATTTGCAAGGAATTTTCTCGGATTGCTATCCCAATCGGCAGAAGGTATTCTTCACATCACTAGACTTTAAACCTGATTTTGACCCGTGCACGTCCCGAATTTGGACAATGGTCCATAAATATGAGTTCGAGCCATTTCAGATAACTTTTTATGCCGCTAGAGTCAGATCATTTGGAGTTCGTATTAGTCAGTTAGGACCAATTTTGTAAACACTGCCATAACCACATTTTTAATTTCATCTCCAAACGTTTATTTTGCTTCCAAACTTGTATTTTCATGTATTATTTGTTATTTTCCACATGTTTACCTATAAAAACACTAAAAGCACAAAAAACACATAAAAAGAATAAAAAAGACTAAGGAATGAACAACAATCATGTCCCAAAATAATGAAATAGAGTGAAAATCGCATACTCATCACATTTCCAAACTTGAACTATTGCTCGCCCTCGAGCAAATATGAAAATGCGTGCAAAATAACAATGACGCATGCAGCTCATCACAAATATTATGACCAACTTTCATGTTTTCAGAATTTGCAATTGTCATAACCATTCTTAAAAAAATCACAAGCTCGAAACTCAAAGACACTTAATTACTTATCATTGCCAAAAATAAAAAACTCTATTATCGTTTCAAACATTCAGCTTTGCAATCAAATATGGAGAGAACTTATACTTGCATCATAATGTTTAACTCTACAAGTTCACCAAATTCCTTTGCTATGCTAATATTGAATAATTAAGTTATTGGGATCCTTTGGAATTTTTGGCTTTCAATTATTGGGTTCTTTGGTACAATGAAGCAATTATGGGTACTATTGATTACTCTCCTCGTTTTGATTTTCCCACTTTTTAATCAAGATTTGTAACAAACAAGATTTTGATACTCTTTTCTTGAATCGAGGTATTTTCGCTGAAAGTTTGATGATTATGCTTTTTGAGCGATGACTTCACCTCTAGGGACTTGTTACCCTACTTGATTCTCAAGAGTTCAAAGGTATCCACATCTGCTTTCGAGATATGGTTCGAGCTATATTTTCTTTGGCTTTTGGTTAAGATGCTTATGTCGTATTTGTCCCTTCTGTATCTGTTGTTTTTTTCTTTTTCTTTTGTTATTTCTTTTTGCATAACGAATTTTCAACAATACTCCAAGGGTTATTTTTCAACTTCTCCAACTATTCTACCTAATTTAATGTGGCTAAATAAAAGAATACCACTTCTCGCGCAATCAGGGTTCAAGTGATAACATATTAAATGGTAGGCTACAAAGGCTCAAACATTTTCAAGATATTCTAAATAACTCAATGAATAGCTAATTCACTTTAAATTCCTAAGGTGAGTTCTTAAATTACACATTATTTGATATAGCATAAATAATCTCTGCATTTAAATTACAATTTTTTTGGCAAAAACAATCCATGATTCTCGCCAACAACTTACTCCTAAGTGACCTTGAATCTAAAGCTCATCAAACTTAAATCTTCGGTAAACAAAACAAGTGATTTTGTCATTAAACATTGGCCATTTTTTTAAGAAATAACAAAGTAACAAATCATATCATTCTAACTTCAACAAATAAGCACCTATACATGCAGACGTATAAAATTTTATTATGTAATTTCAAATGGGGTGAGCAATTCTTTTTTTACTCCGCATTGAGTAATCTTTTACCGTATAAGGCCAAAAGCTTAAGGGCTTGTTCGGTTACATATATTAGATTAGATTGAATTAAATGAGATTGAATTAATTTTCTACTGACTAATTAGTTATTTCGTTAGGAGCATATTCGGTTCTTAGATTAGATCTTCAATTAAATTTGTTAAATTTAGTTGTTATATATGAATTGTCTATCAAAACCACTTAGTTTACAATAATAAGATTAAATTTTAAGAATAAGATTGTCTTTTTCCTTTTTAGTCACCCCTATTAAATTAATCTCAGGAACATGGGTGCTACTAATTTAATAAAATAGTAGCATTTAATAGCGGACTTTGAATTTAGTAAGGAGTTGAAAAATTGTGAATCTCGCCAACCGGACGTATTATTAACCCCTACTATTTAGTCTGTAAAACCTTATAGTGGTAATAAAAAGAGCCCTAAAACTCATAAAAGCCTCATACATTCTCACTTAGTGGTCGGTGGCCCAATTTAATATTACTTTTTTTCTTTCTCAAAAACTAAAATACAATAACATATAATATGTTGTAAATAATATGGTTGTGGGGTTTCCTAACATAACCACCCAACTCCCCACTAGATTAATAACCTACCCATGTCTTCCCATTATGTGTTAGTGGTAGAGTAACTTATTTTGTAACTTCTCTTGTAACTCCCGATGGTTTTTCACCTATATAATGGAATTCCCCTCCCCCATATTTACACCCTTATTAATCTCTCTACGGATTTTTGTCTTTGTATTCTCTCTCTATATTATATTATTGTTGTCATACTTTATTTTCCACAAATCATCAAACCGAAGAGCAATACCATTAGGGCGATTTACAACACGTTGTCAGCACGAATTGCTCGCGGTGATCGTGGAAGAACAATTGTTCGTGGGGCTAGAATACTTGGAGAAATTGTGAGCGTGGTTCGTTCGTAAGACGGTGATCTACTTTCGTAGAACGTATAATCTTCTCTGTAGTATCTGAATTTATCAACTTTCAAGTAAGCCTTAACCCCTTGAAATTATTTATTATATGAAGGCATGCTAGATAAATTTAAAGTAGCATGACAAGTTGTGTAGCATATTTATTTGATGTCATTTGGTATTTGTTTGAAAATCTCGGTTGATGTTTCGAGTACTGTATGATTCATGAATAGATTGTTATATGAGTTGTACTTTGTTGGTGAATGAAGATAAGAAGTTTATGAATTAATCTGTTTGTCAAGATGAGTAATATGTAATATTCTTGTAGAATGATTTCACTATGACTATTTTGTGTATATGTTTGGACATTTAATGTTATTTAATCAGTGAATAAAATCATCTCTGTGAATATTCTGTGTGCATGAAACAATCGGTTTGCCTAATAATCATGAACTGTTTGAAATATTTTTTTGAAATATATGTGAATTCTATGCGAGTCATATATGCTATATGCGGTTGTATCACGTCATATGCAAATTTCATGACATCAAAGTAATGCACAATAATTTGATTCGCATGTATTCTTTGTCTATGTACGATAGGATGGAACATTTGAGCAAACTTGATTTCACCCCTTTGAATGTATCTGGTGAGAACTACGTGAGTTGGACAATGGATGTTAAGATCCATCTCACTAGTAAGAAACTGAGAATGGCTATTGTCAAAGAAAATCTGCTTAATGAAGCCCAGAAGGCTGAAGCTATGATTTTGATTAGGAGGCATTTAGATGAGGTCCTCCGTTTGGACTACTCATCGATTGAGGATCCCCAAATACTATGGGATGCCCTGGCCAGTCGATTTGATCACCAAAAGACAATCCTCTTGCCTGAAGCAAGAAACAAATGGATTCACTTACGGTTTATGGACTTCAAAACCGTTAACAAGTATAACTCTGAAGTATGTCGCATCAAATCCACCCTGGAGTTTTGTGGAGAGAAACTAACTGATGCTGAGATTCTGGAGAAGACGTACTCTACATTCCCTGCCTCACATATGATATTGTCTCAACAGTATAGAGCCAAGAACTATACTCAGTTTTCAGAGTTGGTCACAATTCTGCTCCTCGCCGAGAAGAACCTTGATCTTCTTTTGAAGAACAACCAGGCTCGACCAATTGGTACTCGACCTTTGCCAGAAGCAAATTTGGTCAATCGAAATCCTCAACCTTTGCCAGAAGCAAATTTGGTCAACATAAACAATCGTGGAGGAGGCAGAGGCCGTGGGTTCAATCGTCGAGTGAGAGGACGGGGTAATAGGGGTGGACATGCTCCTTATAATAGGCCACCTAATGGTCCCCCACAGTATGGGCAAAGGGGAAATATGCCAAGAGGAGGTAACAATGCTCGACCTAGAGGTGCGCAGCAGAATAGAGCCCCGAATCAGAATCAAAATCAGAATAGAGATACATGTCATAGGTGTGGTGGAACTGGGCATTGGTCACGCACCTGTCGTGCGATGAACGTTATGGTTGGTGGTGTAAATAACAATGTACCACCGGAGACCAACCTGGTTGAGATAAACGTTCTCAATGAGGAGCCCATTGCTCGACTCCCAAATCTGGGCACATCTGACCCAAACCCAGTTTGGAATATGATTAGAGTGTTATTTTATGAGTTTAGACGTTATGTTATTTTATGTTTCTAGTTTATCAGTTTTAAGTTATGTTGTTTATTTGGTCATGCTCATGAACCAATTTCGTATTTGGATTATGTTTGTGCTTTATTTTCTGGACTATATTTTATGTGGCTATGTTTTAATTCACTTTTTATGGTACTCGGTAGAGTTATCTTGTTTAGATTTTATTAAATTACTTTCAATTGCGGAATATATGATTAGATTTATTTATCTTTCTAGACATGGCATGTGGGGATGAATGTCTGGCAGATAGTGCGACAACGCACACTATCCTTAGGGATAAGTCATATTTTGTTAGTTTCATGTCTAGTAAGACTTCTTTGACTACTATATCAGGCACATCTAGTATAATAGATGGTTATGGTAATGCCCGTATTATGTTACCTCATGGCACAATTCTGACCATTAGAGAAGCTCTTTATTCTCCACGTTCCAGTAGAACGCTGCTGAGTTTTAAAGATATTCGAGCCAATGGTTATCATGTTGAAACAACTGATGAAAAGGGGATCGAGTATATGTGCATCACCTCTAACGTGTACGGCCAGAAGCGTACCTTGGAAAAATTAGAGGGACTTTCGATAGGGTTATATAGGACCAAAATTCTAGTGCCAGAAGCACACCTTGTCGATTGCTCGAGGTCTAGTGATCCGAGCAAATATTTTCTATGGCATGACCGACTGGGACATCCGGGTCAAAGTGTGATGCGCCGAATTATTGACACATCTATTGGGCATCCACTAACGAATAAGGATCTTGTACACAATGATAAGATATGTGTACCATGTTCTATTGGAAAACTTGATCCTATGCCAGCTTATGCACAAACTAGTAAAGATTCTCTTGGCTTCTTGGAACGAATCCAAGGAGATATATGTGGCCCCATCTCACCACCATGTGGACCTTTTAAATATTTTTTGGTGATGGTTGATGCTTCGACTAAGTGGTCACAGGTCGATTTGTTGTCTACGAGGAATGTTGCTTATGCTAAACTCCTCTCTCAAATAATAAGATTGAGAGCACACTATCCAGATTATCCCATTAAGTCTATTCGACTAGATAATGCTGCAGAGTTTACGTCGCGGTCTTTCGACGAATATTGCATGTCCTTAGGTATTGACATAGAACATCCTGTAGCACATGTCCATACCCAAAATGGCCTTGCAGAGGCATTTATTAAGAATTTACAGAGGATTGCACGAACTTTGGTAATGCGCACCAAACTTCCAATCTCTGCTTGGGGCTATGCAATATTGCACGCAGCTATGTTATTGCGATTGAGGCCCACTGCAACCCAACCATGTTCTGCGTTACAGTTGGTGTCCGGAAGTACACCAAAAGTTTCTCATTTACGCACATTTGGGTGTGCAGTTTATGTGCCGATTGCTCCGCCACAACGGACCAAGATGGGACCTCAACGTAGATTGGGCGTTTATGTTGGTTATATATAACCATCTATAATACGATATTTAGAACCCTTGACAGGCGATCTCTTTACCGCTCGATTCGCGGATTGTCACTTTGATGAGACTGTTTTCCCGCCGTTAGGGGGATGAAAGAACGTTCACACTAACGTTCATGAAGAACGGCGTGAAGTCGTGTGGAATGACCTCACTGTGTCTCATCACAATCCCCCTACTTCAGTCAGAGAGTTGGAAGTAAGTAGACTCATAGATCTACATAAAGTAGCCAATAATATGCCAGACTCATTCTCTGACTTAGAAAAAGTGACGAGATCTCATATACCAGCTGCAAACGTACCTGCAAGGATAGATGTCCCAGAAGGACAAAACGTGGGAAGGCCATCAGTCCCTGCTAACCAATCATATCTCCCTGCCCAGAAGAGAGGGAGACCAATTGGATCAAAGGATTCTCATCCCCGGAAGCGGATGAATGCCCAACAGTTGAATGAGGTTAGCAATAGTAATAATGGGATCCCACCCGATCCATCTCATGAAATAGTTCCGGACTATGGATCCGTCTTGGAGACGAAATCGGGGGACGCCTCGACATTAGTATCCATTCCCGAGAATAGGGAAATCTCGGTTAGTTATTCATGCATGAATGAGGTGTGGCATCAGGATGAAAGAATCATCAATGATGTGTTTGCTTACACAGTAGCTACTGAAATTGTATCGAGTGATAACATTGAGCCTCGATCAATTGATGAATGTAAACAGAGGGATGATTGGCCGAATTGGAAAAAAACAATCCAGGCTGAGTTCGACTCATTGGTAAAAAGAGAAGTGTTTGGGCCGGTAGCTCCTACACCTCCTGGAGTGATACCCGTGGGATATAAATGGGTATTCATAAAGAAAAGAAATGAGAAAAACGAGATTATGAGATATAAGGCTCGTCTCGTAGCACAAGGATTTTCTCAGCGACCTGGGATTGACTTTGAGGAGACATATTCTCCTGTTATGGATGTTATTACATTCAGATATCTAGTCAGTTTGGTTGTATCCGAGGAACTGACTATGCAGCTCATGGATGTGGTCACAGCTTATATATATGGGGATCTAGATGCGAGTATATATATGAAAGTTCCTGAATGACTTCGATTACCCGAAGCAATTAGTTCCAGACCACAGAACACGATCTCATTTAGGTTGAGACGATCACTTTATGGCTTGAAACAATCTGGAAGAATGTGGTATAATCGTCTAAGTGAATACTTGCTCGGAAGGGGATACGTGAACAATGATATTTGTCCTTGCGTGTTTATTAAGAAAACATGTTCTGGGTTTGCTGTTGTAGCAGTTTATGTTGATGATATGAATTTGATTGGGACTCCTGAAGAAGTCCGTGAAACAGCCCAACTCCTAAAACATGAGTTTGAGATGAAAGATCTCGGTATGACTAATTTATGTCTCGGACTTGAGATAGTACACCGTGCTGATGGAATTTTGGTCCATCAATCGAACTACATCCAGAAGATGTTAAGACACTTTAATATGGATAAAGCGAAACCATCGAGCACGCCTATGGTAGTCCGATCATTGGATAGGTCGAAGGATCCGTTCCGTCCTGTGGAGGAGGACGAAGAAGTGTTAGCACCTGAAGTGCTGTACCTAAGTGCAATAGGCGCATTATTGTACTTAGCTCAATGTACTCGACCTGATATCGCATTTGCGGTAAATTTGCTAGCAAGGTTTAGCTCAGCACCAACACGCCGCCATTGGAATGGTGTAAATGACATATTTCGTTACCTTAAGGGTTCAATAGACATGGGTTTGTTCTATCCCTATGCATCATTAAAGGATGCAAAGCTTGTGGGTTATGTTGACGCTGGGTATCTGTCAGACCCACATAAAGCTCGTTCCCAAACTGGATATGTGTTTACCATTGGGAACACAGCTGTGTCTTGGAGGTCTACAAAACAGACCTTAGTTGCCACCTCATCGAATCATGCAGAGATTTTAGCACTTCATGAGGCAGTGCGTGAATGTACTTGGCTTAGAGCCATGAATGGGCATATTCGAGATTCCTGTGGATTGGCTACCACAGATGATCCTACGATCATATTCGAGGATAATGCAGCGTGCATTGAGCAAATGAAGACGGGCTTCATTAAAGGTGACAACACCAAGCATATAGCTCCAAAGTTTTTCTTCAATCAGCAACAACAAGAGCTCAAACAAATAATGATCCAGCAGATGAGAAGTCAGGATAATTGCGCTGATTTATTTACTAAGTCATTACCTAAAGTAACTTTTGAAAAGCATGTTAAGGCTATTGGTCTGCGTAGATTATCTGAGCTCGCTCCCTTATAGACATCAGGGGGAGTTAACTTGAGGGGGAGTATCCTGTAGGTACTTAGTATCCAGAAGATACCTAGATGCCCTGTTGTACTCTTTTCCCTTTTTGCGGGATTTATTTTCCCACAGGGTTTTTGGTTACCCGCTAAGGTTTTAACGAGGCAATATAGCTGATTGGAAAGATTGTGCGTTGTACTCTTTTTCTTAACCGAGGTTGTTTTGTCCCACTGAGTTTTATTACTCGGAAGGTTTTAATGAGGCAACATGAAATGCACAATAGTGGTTTTGATAGGAACCCCCAAGGGGGAGTGTTGTAAATAATATGGTTGTGGGGTTTCCTAACATAACCACCCAACTCCCCACTAGATCACTAACCTACACATGTCTTCCCATTATGTGTTAGTGGTAGAGTAACTTATTTTGTAACTTCTCTTGTAACTCCCGGTAGTTTTTCACCTATATAATGGAATTCTCCCTCCCCATATTTACACCCTTATTAATCTCTCTACGGATTTTTGTCTTTGTATTCTCTCTCTATATTATATTATTGTTGTCATACTTTATTTTCCACAAATCATCAAACCAAAGAGCAATACCATTAGGGCGATTTACAACATAATATAATTTTTCTTACATTTATAAGTAATGGAAAAATATAAAAATCTTGGGGGAGTGGAGGGGGGCAACAACCCCCGCCATACTTACGGTCCGCCTCTGTGCACGAGAGTTGACGGTTACCCAGTGCACCGGCTACAAGATTTGCACATCTCACTCAAATTTCCCGACTACAAAAACAAAAAAATGAGGGATTTTAACTAGGCGCATTGCGGCTTGATAAAATGGAAATACAAGAAAAAATGGCTTTTCGACAAAACCAACATGTTTCTCTCCATAAACCTTTTGTCCTACATTGTTGGGTTTTTTAATAAAAATAATATTTTATTGAATATTTTCTTTGACCAATTTATGAGGTCATTTAGAGCAATATTTTGAAACCACCAAAGACTTTATTTTGTCTCATAAAACCTCAATATTTTCCTTTAATTCTATATTAAATATAGGTTTTATGGTGGTCATATTTTATACTATATAAAGGTGGCTTTGTAGCTTTGTAAAGGTACAAGTGAGAAGAGAAAAAGAAACACTTTTCTTCTATACTATACACTTATATTTTGAGCTCTTGTTGTGTGTCGGGTGTAAGCTTCTACTTCACTCGAATGTGCAATTTCGGTGAAGTTACAGCGGAGAGATAGG